AGGGGCATTTCACTGGATTCCTGATCTTTGACTAGGTTTGAAGAAATACAGAAATTCAGCATGAACTTTAATGCTTGGGCATTTTTTCTAAAGTACATGCCAACTATATTTAAAATAAACTATGCTTAAAAATAGAGTGAAATTTTCTATGTGAATTTTATCTCAATAAATTATTAATAAAACTAAAGTGAGCCATAGTAGATGTCTGCCAAATTTTATATATATCATCAATAGTTTATTCTGGTTCCTTTATGGATTGCATAAGATCCTGATAGGCATGAAAACTATAGTACGATAAAGAAAATGTTGCTTAAGATATCTCTGGCCCTTCAAATTTGCTTCTCAGAAATATTTTTTGCTCAGATAGAAAATACTTTGATTTACTATAAAGGTGTTCTTAGGAAGAAGAATTGGTATACACAAATGACTTTTTAAAAGCATTTACAATTCAATCTTATTTAAGAGAAAATTTGAAGTATTTTAATAGTAGTATTTATGGCTGGCAGAAGTAGATACAGGGCCAAGTTTTTCTGTGCTTGGAAGGTCGAGGCAGTCCTATGATAATTGGAAAACATTGAATGAATTGAGATGTCCCAGTTGAACAGATGATGTTATTTTAGTTATGAAAGTCAGACATTCATAGATTTTTGCCTAAAGTTCTTTTGCAACTTAATAATGCAAATGTTTGGACATTTTAGAATGAATCCTAATTTGTGCCCTCCACCTTCCCCAAAGGGAAAGGAAACTATTAACCAGAACAACAGTGTTGGAGATTAAATAACTACATCTTATATTTGGCTTTCGTACCTGTGATTCTTAAACAGTGTTGAAAATTATTGCCCCTTCCCCCAATGGATTGAGAAATTTGACTGGGTTCCAACAAGTTAGTATGATGGTATCCATCTTCAGACCAATATTCATCCAAGATTTTAACATTGGATGAAAGGTAAAGATTTCACATACTTTGAATTCCTTTAAGACTTTGTAAGTTACAGAGCTCCCAAAAAAATTGGTCAATAAAAACAAAAAGCTATAGAAGTGAAGATTCCTGAAAAAGTTATTGCAACTTATGAGACTGTTCCTACATATAATGCACTGCACTGGAAAGTCCTCCTCAGTTAATTCACAGATAGCAACAGTCCCGTGTAAAAATGAAAGAATTTGGAAGTTCCCTCAGAAAACATCAGAGCTCAGCATAAAGCTTATTTATTGTAGGACTGAGTTGAAAAAGTAAATGTTTTTTTTTTTTAATTTTTTTTTTTAAGTAATCTCTGCACCCAGTGTGGGGCTCAAACTCATGCTCTTCCAATGGAGCCAGGCAGGCACCCCAGAAGTAAATCTATCTTGATGAGACTTATGAACTGATTCTTTGGCTATTGAATACCAGGATCCTTCTTCCAGACCTCCTCCATCTATAGCTCACTGTGTAGACTATCGGCCTTACTTTACAAAATGAGCATAAGATCAGGTGTCTAATGTGAATTCCTGGGAAATTACTGATTGTTAAGGCAGCATGAGGTTATCCCGCCCCCCCCCAAAAAAGCATATTTAAAAAAGAATCTTATGTGGATAAATACAGTACCATCTGTTCACTAGTGTGTCCACGGTGCCTAGCATAGGTACTCAGTATTGTTAAATGAATAAATGGTGGTGTTGACATGATGCTTTATGGATTATCTGTCACAAGAAAGCCTAAGCTATTCCAGGTTACTAATGCAATAAAATCAGACTTGGGTTTGGGTGGGAGGGGAGAGCACATTAGTTCAAATACAAGCTGGGTCGCTGACTCACCCACGCACACTATAAATTTAGGCAAGTCACTTAACTTCTCGGGGCCATTTTTAGAAACTGAAAGAGTTGTGCTGAATTTGTTGAGTGACCTCTGGTTTCTCTGGGCTCAAATGACCTTTGTCTTGGGTTATTCTTCTATTTCCAATTGGAAAAAGTCTCTGGGGCCTGACACGTTAGGGTTACCCTGCAGCCAGTCTTGGGAAATGGCGTCTTTCTTGGTCCTCTCTCAAGAACATACGCTCTTGGTCCAATTACCTCTAATACCGTGAAAGGAATTTTATCAGAAAATAACCTGTAAGTTTAAGTCATATTAATAGAATCAATTACAGGTACAAAAGAAAGACATGCACACTCACAGTCTAGCACTGTCTAGCTTAAGACCCAGTTTTTATTTAAAATATTTTTGTCTTTGGATGTTTTTATTCAATCACTTAAGTCTGACCTTATCTTAGGCTGGTTTCTTCCCTCTCCTCCCTTCCTCTCTCCCGTTTCCTCTCTTCTCCTCTTCTCTCTTCCCCTCCCCTTCCATCTCTGTCTCAGTCTCTTTCCCTCTGACTATCTGAAACATTTATGAGTTCTTTTTTTCAACCAATCTCTAAAATCCAGTTTCGCTAAATTTCTAATGATTTTAAGTGGCCCAGCAGTTTCTCCAGGACGAGCTGCAAGCCCATGGCATACATTCAGCACCTCTTTGGTTCTATCTGCCTATTTGGGTTTGGGTGCCTAGCTCTTACAAGATTGCCTTCACCTCTCCCCTAACTTTAGTGTTCCCTGATTCTCTCCCTTCCTACCTACCCCTTCTTCTCTTGTGTTCCTTTTACTCTTGGATTGTTCAGATGAGGCTGGTCCCACAGTCTTGGCACCCAAGGCTAGTCTGAGCCCTTCTAAATCGATATTTTAACGTAGATGCTATGTACAAATCTCAAGCCCTGATCATTTGGAAAGTTAAAGTGGCAGATAATCTGAAAAATTAGAAGAGAGAGAGAGAAGGAGAAAGAGAGAGAGAGAGGGAGAGAGAGAAAGGGAGATGGGTGGGTTGGGGGGAAGAATCAAGAGGAGCTCTTGCTGTATCCATGTAAAGTTTCTTTCGTTATAGCAGGCAGAGTCTCAGCTTCCTTCTTTTTATGTTTCCAGCTTTTTAAAAGTTTCATCCCCTTTGCTTTGTGTCCTTACAGAGAAAAAGGGAGTGTAAAATTGTAGCTTTTTTTCTGCACACCTGCCCACTCTGAAATAATTGGTTTGTCTACTTTCACAAGGAGCTGTATTTATATTAAAGAACCACTTGGCATCAATGCCCAAGTGCAGATGTCCTATCATATACGACTGTGCCTCATTCAGAAAACTCAAGATAGAGTAAAATAAATTAACAACATCTTGGCTCTGTGCTCCATTCACAACTGTTAATTTAACAAGGTTATGCTTCCATCTCTGAGCGGAGCGTTCCTGGCAGGGACAGCTGCTCCCATGCCCCAGATTGTGCTGTGTGCATCCCAGTAGGAGTTATCGAAAGCAGCAGGATGGAGGGAAGGTGGTGGTGCATCAGAGAACTGAACAGTGTCGCAGCATGGCACTGGGAGGAGGGAGAGGAATGGGCCTTTCCAAAATGCTTTTCATCCACTCCTTCATTCTCTGTATGAATACATGCACATTTAACTGAGGAAAAAGAAAAACTTGTCTTAAATTTTACCGGAAAATTGTCAATCCTGCTTTTACTCTCAAATGTGGCTAATTTTCCAAAATACCTTTGTATACCCACTAGCACGTTGATGAATCTACATAGCAACAGGCCCATATGCCTGAGCAAAGAATGTCAAACAGACCCACATCATGATTCACAGGATCTGGGTCACTGGGGCAATGCTGGTATGAGAGAAAATATACCCTTGTGTTGGCCTGCTGTGGCTTACCTCCTAAACTGCAGTAAAGGCCAAGATCAGGCCAAAGTCAAGACTAGGGCCAAACACAGCACTTGGTACATGATAAGCACTCTTCTATTATTAGTCTTTTGAAGGAAATTTGCTGTATTGTTCACTACTGTATTTCTCCATTGCCTAGAACAGTGCTCACAAAAGTGAACAAAAGTTAAATGTTCCAAAGTTAAAGGAAGAAGTGAATGGAGACTATAAGTAACCACATTAGGGCACCATGGTGAGCGGTGAGCAATGGAGCTATATAGAATTTTGTGTACTTCCTTACACATTTCTTTCCATGACTATACCTTTTCTGCCTATCTTCTGATTTAATTTCCTTATGGAAAAAAAGTTATTTGCAGCATATGTTATTCTATAAATGTTACAATCAAATGGTTAAAAAAAATCGTGTTCTAGTCTCTTGTCTTCAGTACCAAGATGACTCCATTAATGATAATATAAAACTAATTTTAGGTTTAAATTGCTTTGGGAATAAGAAATTGTGATTTAGTAAATATATACTACTCTTTCAAATGTGGAAACAGTGTTTTCCATTCTTTTGTTTTTTTAACTCAAAATAATGGCCATTTTCTGCATTCACATTTTGAAGGTTTCTATGTTGATTACTGATGTTAGACCGCATACAGGTGAAAGTAGGCATCATTTTGTGACCAGCATTCTGAGTTTTCACAACCCAAACAAATCCCTCCAAGCCCTGAAACTCATTTGTGTTTTGCACCAAACCCTGATGGATCTGTGGTCTAAACCTTTATTTATCACACTCTTGGCCTCCATCTATTGGTTTCCTGACCAGATTTGAAATCTTGGGGGAAACGAATAGACTCTTCCATAATAATTTCTAAGCCATCACATATTTCACAGAGTTCTCTTTCAGGAACTCTGAAAAACAGTATCTTTCGGAGCTCTTTGATTAAAACCTAGGATGAATGTAATTTGAATTATCAAGGTACATCGGAAAAAAAAGGCTGGTTTAAGTTTAGTAATGGAGAGACATTGAGCTGGGGAAAGAAACATGTATTAAATAATGCCAGGGATTCTGGAAGTCCAAAAGGACATCGGTTTTGCCATAAGATAATGTGTACGCCACTTAATTCCCCATCAAGGAGAGACGAAAGGCTTGATTTGAATCCAGGGTATTGTTGATTTCTTAACTTCAAATCTGGAGCCTGACCCAAAAGAAATCATTTAACGAATATTTGTTGAATGCTGTGATCTGAAGGAAAAGAACATAACTTCACCTCTTCTGTGTTTTTTTTAACCCCCCTTTTCTCCACAAAGGTTGAAAAAAATGATGAAGACCAAAAGATCGAACAAGATGGCATCAAACCAGAAGATAAAGCTCATAAGGCTGCGACCAAAATTCAGGCTAGCTTCCGTGGACACATAACAAGGAAAAAGCTCAAAGGAGAGAAGAAGGGTGATGCCCAAGCTGCTGAGGCGGAAGCGAATGAGAAGGATGAAGCCCCTGCTGCCGATGGCGTGGAGAAGAAGGAGGGAGAAGGTCCCACTTCCGCTGACGCGGCCCCTGCCTCGGGCCCCAAGCCTGAGGAAACCGGCAAGGCAGGCGACACTCCTTCCGAGGAGAAGAAGGGGGAGGGCGCCCCTGATGCTGCCACAGAGCAGGCAGCCCCCCAGGCTCCTGCCCCCTCAGAGGAGAAGGCCGGCTCTGCTGAGACAGAAAGTGCTACTCAAGCTTCCACTGACAACTCGCCGTCCTCCAAGGCCGAAGACGCCCCAGCCAAGGAGGACCCTAAACAAGCCGATGTGCCTGCTGCTGTCACCGCTGCTGCCGCCGCCACCGCCCCTGCTGCAGAGGATGCTGCTGCCAAGGCAACAGCGCAGCCTCCAACGGATGCTGTGGAGAGCAGCCAAGCCGAGGAGAAGATAGGTGAGCCGCCGCCGCGAGCGTCCCGCGCCGTGGGTGGGTGGGCCACCCGCGCCATCCCGGGAGACGGAAGAAGTCTAGAAGGCTTTTCAAGGAAATCCGGGGAAGCTGCGCTTAATTCCCCAAAGTGGCGGGGCAGAGAGCTGACTCTGGCCCCTTATATTCCCCAGTATCTCCAAGCCTGAGAGAGAACTCGGGCAGGTCTGTGTAGCAGTCAGTACTGGAGAGGTCTGGCAATCATCTTGTTAATTGAATTGGCGTAAATAGCAAAACTAGGTAATCCCAGTTTTAAAAAAAGTATTAAGTGTGCTGGTTACACTTAGTTTACTAAGTAATTACAGAGGCTACATATATTTTATAGAAGGGAATTAGCTAATATGATTATTTGGCTCTAGGAAGTGCATGGTTATAAGTACAGCCAACTCCCTATTGATCCAGATGATCTATTTGGAATTGCTGGCAGCAAAAACATAATCTCAGACCACCTTTGCCTATCCCTCAGTATGTTTCTGGGCATTCTCCCCACCATCAATTGGGGAGTAGTGTGCGTATGTGTGTGTACGCTCAGAGAATGTTAATTGTACCATTGAATCAGGGTCAAACTAATTAGGAAAATAAGTCTGTTGATGTTGCCAAAAACAAAAGAAAAACCCCCAATACAGAACATGCTGTGAAGTCAAACATAAATTATCATTTTACTATTGAAGATACTACTTTCTACCATATGCACAAATAATTGAGAGTTGACTATGATTACAAAAAGGAACCAGGTTCTCTTCAGTTTGGAGCTTAACTTGAAAGCTGGAGTGTTTTCACTATTATGGCCCAAATAGCCTGTGCAGAATTGGAATAGAGCATTCCCAGAGCAAGATCGATCTATCAGAATATCACCTCTGGAGACTAGGTCCATCCCTCACCCTAACCATCCATAGTGGTGAAGGAGGCCAACAGTCTCCAAGACTTTTCTCTAGCCTAATATGACCCGTGAATACCTTTCAGCCTCAAAGACTTTAAAGTTGCTTCTGTGCCTGTTTAAAAGTTTGGGTTTACTCCTTCCAAACTTCGTGAATTTAACCCATGATGTGTCTAAGGACCCACACTTGGACTAGAGCACATTGTGCCCTTGAGAAAGGACCTACTACATGGGGAAATGTTTGGCATCTGACCATTATATTGAGAAAGTAATCATTGGACATTTGCCTTGATATTCATGTTAGATACTAAATTAGATATTACAATTGGCAGATGATTATTTTAGGTATTTTCAAGCCTACTTTTTTCATCTTACCCCCAAAATTCTGTAAGAAGCCAGACTATATTAATTGTTTTTGTTATTAACATTCTCTAGCTCCAGACAAATCACACACCTCTTTCTCCCAGTGACTCATTCTAAATCTTTATTCTAACTACATACCTGCCCCAGGGGCTGGACCTTGTGGTTAAGAAGATGGGAATACTTCCCTAGGAAAGGTAAGGCATGTGATAAATAACGGGGAGTTGGTTTTAATTTTCTCAGCAAAACCAACCTTGTTAACTACTTTTTTGTTGTTGTTTTGTTTTGTTTTTTTAAGTTTTAATTTTAATTCCGGTTAGTTAACATACAGTGTTATATCAGTTTCAGGTGTACAATATAGTGATTCAATAGATCCATACATCACCTGGTGCTCATCACAACAAATATGCTCCTTAATCCCCATCACCTTTTTCACCCATCCCTCCACCCACCTCCCCTCTGGTAACCATCAGTTTGTTCTCTATACTTAAAAGAGTTAACTGCTTCTCTTTAGGCTTAAGGTTATAATCTCAGACATGATGGCTGGAAATCACAACCTCATAAATTTAGAAATTGATCATGATTTTAAAAACAAAATATTTGAATGGCTGAAGTCATATTTTTTAACTGGAATTTCTAAAGTTGTGAGAATAAACAAGGACATTTTGATTTTAGGTATGTGCTCATGATTTGGATTAATAGAAAGAAGGAAAGCTTGAATCAATGAGAAGCCTAAAAATATTTTTTGAGGAAATTCAGTTTTGTTATTTTGCAAAGTATGGCAATTCCAAATGAATTAATAAAGTACTTTATGTACTCCATGCTCAATAAATGTCAAGTAATGAATGAATGAATGAATGAAATTGACTAGATTTAATTTATAATGATTTGTTCACTCATTCTTATTCCTCCTGCAACCTTGCTTACTCCATTCACTTATTTGATTAAACATGTGTTTGGTTTTTGTAGGCAAATACAGATTGTGCTGTGTCCTAAGTTTTACAGATTCCAACTGAAAAATGTCTCAATTAGTCTAATTTTTAATATGTACATCGAAAGGGGTAATTGAAAGTGTAGGTGAAGTTCCACTTGAAGGTAATCACAAAGGACAATTTATTTTACATTGTTTCTGAGTTTGGGGTAGGTATTGTCTTCTTGGTTAGATTCTGAAATGCTGCCTGTAGCTTCTTTCTGGACTGATGTGTCTATTAGCCTTGCCTGCTGTATGTGACAAGCACAAATTATCCAGATGTGGTGAGTCTCAGGAATCACAGAAACTAGAGGTGGCAGGTGGATCTATCACAGCATAGCAGGCCCAAATTCCCAGGAGCCCTGTACCACATTTTCTTCTATCTCCCATTGGATTTCATTCTAATCCAAGTTAAAATAACAGTATTTCCAATTGAGCTCCACTGTCTGGAAATGGATGGCTACCCTGGGTTGCTGTAGGATTCTCTGGCTGCCTGGATGGGTATAGAGAGACAAGCAGAGAAGGTGAAACAGGGTTCAGGGCAAAATAAGTCACTAGAGAGAATTCAGGACAATAATTTCTGTCAGCGGGAGGGTAAAAAAAAATTGGACCAAATCTGATCACTGCTTTAATACAAGTGGCAATGCTTTATAAATTATAAATGTCACCTTACTTCCTTTACTATTTGTGGCTTTATTACACATAGATGTCATTTACATTAACTTCTGGAGTTGGTTAGTTCTTTTTCTTTCCTTTTGTTTTTTAAAATCCTCCAAGTACATCTCCCTCACTCTCTGCTCTGCCACTCTACCTGCCTGTCTCTTGATATGCCTCTGACCAAAAGATTTCAGTGCCTTTCTGATGATGATTCCTTTATAGGAGGAGGAGTATTTAGGCATATCTAGGACACCGCTCCCCTTTAGCCATGAGGAGAGAATGTTCAAGCCAACTTCAGTGATAGTGTCCTTGGTGTCTCTTGCTAAACAGTGTCACTCTCCTCATTGGGCTTTCAGTGAAGGAATTCTGCTGTGGCTCTTCTCCATGATATTACATTGACTTTCCCCAATAGAGGACTCCAAAATTTCTGCTGTGGCCATAGTCAGTGATGTAGTACTACCAAAGTAATACATCCAGGTGGCTAGAAATCAGAGGTTGAAGAGGTGGTTGCCACAGGGTACTTGACTGATACTAGTGGCAGGGGCAACTCTGTATTACCGTAGGTTTTCTGTATGTTGAACTTGGCTGCATTTGAATTTCATGGTCTCATTACTTCTTTCTAACTGGAGTCACCAATAATGATCTTCAAAACAAGGGAGTTTTTTCCCTTCAAATTTTTATTTGAATTCTAGTTAGTTAACATACAGTGTAATATTAGTTTCAGGAGTAGAATTTAGTGATTCATTACTTACATACAACACCCAGTGCTCATCACAAGTGGCCTCCTTAATACCCATCACCCATTTAGCCCATCCCCCACCCACCTCCCTCCATCAACCCTCAGTTTTTTCTCTGTTGTTAAGGGTTTCTTATGGTTTATTCCCTGCCCCCTTTCCCTTCCCATATGTTCATCTGTTTTATTTCTTAAATTCCACATATGAATGAAATCATATGGTATTTGTCTTTCTCTGACTGACTTATTTCACTTACCATAGTACCCTCTAATTCCATCCATGTCATTGCAAATGGCAAGATTTCATACCTCTTGATGGCTGAGTAATATTCCATTGTATATACATAACACCTCTTCTTTATGCATTCTTCTGTCAGTGGACATCTGGGCTCCTTCCATAGTTTGGCTATCGTTGATAATGCTGCTATAAACTTCGGGGTGCATGTATTCCTTTGAATCTGTATTTCTGTATCCTTTGGGTAAATACCTAGTAGTGCAATTGCTGGATCGTAGGGTAGTTCTATTTTTAACTTTTTGAGGAGCCTCCATACTGTTTTCCAGAGTGGTGGCACCAGTTTGCATTCCCACTAACAATGTAAGAGGGTTCCCCTTTCTCTGCATCCTCACTAACATCTGTTGTTTCCTGTGTTAATTTTAGCCATTCTAACAGGTGTAAGGTGGTATATCATGGTTTCGATTTGTATTTCCCTGATGATGATGAGTGATGTTGAGCATCTTTTCATGTGCTGAAACAGGGGAGTTTTGTCATTGTCATACCTCTTTTCCTTTTCCCTTTTCTGCTTCCTTCCTCCTTCCCTCTCTGCCTTCCTTCCTCCTTTTTTTTTTTTTTTTTTGGTCTTCCATTTATATTAACTTTCTACTGTGCTAGGCATTAAGATCACAAAGATGAGTAAGGTACGGCCACTGATCTTATGAATTCCCGATCCAGTAGAGGGTGTGGGGTGAAATTCAGGGAGTGGTGTTGAAAACAATCATAGTAATAATCTCAACTAAATTAAATTCTGCAAGAAGGTATGGACTACTTCTGTATGCCAAGGTGCCATGGGACAAAATATGAATGAGACAGTGCTTCATGCAATTTGAAGCATGCTAAAAAAAAGTTTTTATATAATGTGTGTCTCTATTGCCAAATTGTTAGCCAAAAGAATGGTTGCAAAATTTATAGTTTCTGGAATCATAATTAAGTGTCCAGCCCATGTTTCTGGATTTGGGGCCATTCTTTATGTTCCTCTAAACAAAGTTTTCCTGAGTCCCAGGGTAACCATCCATAACATTTTTAGCTCTCTAAAGGACAGATCCTCTTCCACCAAACTCTGTGTTGTGAGATTTCCCAAGGATATTTACACTTA